AATGGTTTTTTGCTCTCCCAGACAGGAATAGCTTCATGGTTATTGACCAATTAAAAATCGTAATAAGGACTTCATTCACTCTGTGTAGACAACCATCGTCATTATTATCATCTTGTTGTAACTCTTCTTCTGCGTGCTGACAGTTATCTTTTCTGATCCGTACCTCGATTTGCCTTATCGCAGCTGGTGTAAACCGGGCATTTGATACGTTTTCTCAGCTCGCTCATCTCGGCGAGGTGAGATAGTTAAAACGGCACGGGGCCGCCATCCGCAGTGTTCCCCCTTCCTGTTTTCCCCCACCCCTCAACTCTCCTCGCTACTCTTGAATTCCTCTCTCTATTCTCCAGACTACTTGTACCCCCCAATCCAATGATGAGAGCTAGCGTACTGCCATCACCGCCAGTGTTACTAGATGACGGTGCTGCCTCGTTGGCAATTCTTTAGATAGCTCTGCTTGACGCTTGGCCAGATGCCAACACGCTCTGGCTGATCTACTGAAGCTCACTGGCCTGCTTTCTGGTTCCCGGCTCCAAACACACATGAGCGACATAGCATGCATTCTACAGAACCAGGCTGCCACCTCACGAGTCAGTGTACGCGTCAACATCATCTATTAATTTGGATCGTCGGCCCACAACTACGTTTTCAGCTGCATGCGCAAAATGAAGAGTTGTAGCGCAAACACTGCCCATTGCACATTTGCCTTCATTCCTGAATAGTCTTGCGGGTATTACAGCGATCTAGCATTAAAATCAGTGATTGCTTTATAAAGGTTCTTTCTCGTTTGACTCAAAGACAAACAGCCTCGCATTGATTGAATTGAAAGTAAACACGCTGGGCGTCTATGTGTTAGATACAACGAACGGGTGTTAAATCGACCCAGCTGAAAGAAGTTAATAACCCACCTGCAAAATTTAATTATAAGCACAAGAAGAATGATGATATCAGTTTAAGACCTCGTTAATAATAGTCTGGTTGCATAAGCAGCGTTGTAAACAGTAGAATATGAGCTATCTTCTGGAGCTTGATGTTGCTGTGCGGAAGCAGACATAATGGCCACGTCAGCAAATTAATCACCAATGTAATTTTAACTAAATGTCAAGGACATAAGTTGGCAAATAAACTGAGACGTACATAAGTTGTCGATATAACAATTATTGAGAAAGAAAAACGAGTTGGTAGAAGCTGGATTCTGTATAGGATTCGCGCCAAATATACCGCTTGGACCAAGAGGTCCTAACTCTGCTTTATTTTGGGGGTACTTCATATGTCCTTCTGAAGTACTTCATTGGGTTGCTTAAGGCTCGTACGGCCATCTTTAATATTTCAACAATGCATTAAACGCAGCTTTGATAATTGGCAGCTAGATTTGTTGAAGATCTTCCATTGAAGAACCGTTTCGAGCGTAGGTAAAAAGCTAAGGGGCTAAATAAGTGCTTCATCAGAAAATAGGCCGTCTGTCCATTTGAGGGTATGATTTTCTATTGAAAAAACTAAATGACCCTGTTAAACAGGTTAATAATAATTGAGAATCAGAAAACAAATTTGTTTAAATCACCTACCGCGCCCGTCATACCATCAATGATCATGGCTACAATGTGGATCATATAAAAATGTCTATAAGTAAAATTACTCGCAGCAGCGCAAAACGCGTGTGCACAAAATAGTTATATTTTTTGCATTAAAAGATTTCCATTGAACATTTAAAAGGACTATCTCATCTTCTAGTTATGTGATAATTTCGTTGATATCTGAGTTTCACCCTCTTATTACCGATGAGCAAAGTTCTTTAAGAATACCCTTTCAAGTAGATGCGTAAATCAATATAGTCATTTTTTATATATGGGCTGGAATTGTATCTATGTAGCTAGCTGATTTGGGGGAGGTGCTATCTAGCAGCACCTTGGACCTTTTCGCATTGCGGGAATAATAGTAGTACTTATACTATTCGTGATTTAAGTTTAGCCTTCAAATTGAAGGTCCCCGGCGTCTACAACGACTCACACAACAACAATCACACTTAATATGGGGCTAGATCCTCCATAACCGTACACTATTCGGGTAAAACATCGATTTTTTGCCCTATCCTATATACGATAAGCGCAATTACGGTTGCCCATCCCAAGGCATCTAGATTTGTATTAACGGATAACAACGTTTCATATATTTGAGAAAAAGGGGCTGTAACCAATAAGTTCTTATTTTTACGAAGTACGAGGTATTCTAAAATACATTTAAACCTTTTTTCCGTTTCTTCAACGTATAATGACCTTTTCGTCGCGGAGCAGTTGCTTTGGGGCGACTGCGCTTTAATAGGATCTACGAGTGATCTAGTCAAAGGAAAAAAACAACGTGTGCCTCAGACGCAGTTTGGGCTATTTCTTTATAGCGTGTCTCGGGTAACAAAAAGGAGTTCCTACACCGAAAAGTGACAAGGTGGCTGGCGGGGAAAACCTAAATTGCAACCCCAACTTCATCGCGTCTGCCGCCGTGGGTGCACAATGGTCTTTGTCGTGCAAAATTGCTGCAGTGTGGCGATAGACTTGAAACTTATGTAGAACTTCGCCGGTGAAATGCAACAGCAACGAGATCCCTAAAACGAATCGTTTTTTTATTTTTATATTCGAATTTCCGCCCCCTGAGCAGCGACGACAGTATTGTCTTCGTGGGACACCCTCTAAATTGGGAAAGCTTTTTGAGGAAAAAGAGAACAGCTCTAGTGGCAGTTTCGGTGTTCAGAGAATAGAGTCCGTTCGAAGTAGAATCATGAGCTGAACAAAATGCGGCGAAAACGGCTGTCAGCCGTAGAATGCACCGATGAAGAGCATAAATTTGCCTCAATACCCTTGTAACGATTCTGATGATATCGTATGGTTGGATCTGCTTAACTCATAGAAAAGAGGTTCGCTTTCAACATCGCCCTGTTTGATATCACCAGCACGTGTGGGAAGTGGTTTCTTTAGCAAAGAGCTTAATAGGCTTTGTGTAGTATCATCGGGAGCATAAATTCAAATGGTTCTAAATCTACGAACAACTGTGAATCAACTATCTAGTTCATGGGAAATCTGCAGTAGCAGTTTAGGTGCGTGCGTTCGACACAATGTTAATTTCTAGGCCAGCACTTTGGCCCTCGAAATTTACCTATCGACATGACTGCGTGAGGCAAGTGGGTAAATGTTGGTGTTAGACTGCCTTTGATATCCGCTATAAGAACGCAGTTTTTTTTATTTATGAGCTGAAATTTTCGTCCCGCTTTGAAGAACGTTAATAAGAAGCATTCATATTTACAAGATTACGATAGATTAGGGCTTCTAGATGTAGAAATAGAAGGCAAAGGCCTAAGCCAGGACAACACGATGTGATAACCTCAATTCTTGTAGCTTGCCAGCGAAATAAGTGTTAAATGGAAAAGCCGGTCCTATGATAAAGGCTGTCTGTTGATCTGTTTGCCAATCTGTTGATGCAATACCGGCTCCCCTTTTGTTCGGCACATTGAGCGGACTGTCGGCAAAAGGCAAGATGTTCCCAATACAGTGATAATTCTTTAGAGACGGTAATGATAGCAATAGTAATTTGTATTGAAGCTCCATATTCCTAGGATCTGTCTAATTTTCTTACACAGAGATATCTACAATCACAAACAAGGTAGTTCACTTAATGTCGGGTGAAAATTTGCAATCCGCAACAATGCTACTAACTCAAATATCTTAAAGACAAGGTCTCATCATTTTTTTTTTACATTTGAACCAGCCATTTAGATCCAATTCCAGTAAACTTCGCTAACCTTAACCAACTATGTGCTAAAAAAAAAGCATCTGGTGACCTAGGGCCATTAAACAAGGTAGGATGTTTGTCGTTTAATAAACGTTTTAATAGTCATAGCCTTAGCGACGTCCTTCATTCAAGGCTGTAGTTGACATGTATGCATAGTTGCAATGAGAACTATGAGACACATCAGTTCGATCTCGACGATAGTTATCACTCACACCTTTTAGTTTAACGAAAATTATTACAGGTGTGCGTAAAATAATAAAAAAGGACGGTTACAAGCAAAAGCTCTTAGATTTTCAACGGTCTCCAGCGATAGCAAGAGGAAATTCAATCGACTTCTATAGTTGAAAAGGAACACGAAGGAATCCTTATGCCGATGATTTTGTAGCGAACTGTAAAGGTGCCTTTCATTCAGCTGGTTTAGTAAATAGGTCCGCTCATTTCTATCCAGCCGAATAGCTCACGGCGATCTATTGTTGCAGTTATATCTATTTTGAAGCTTTGATCGTGCATTGTTTCATAAATCATGGAAACCTCACACCGACGACTTCAAGAAAAAAATCATTCGCGCAGTCAGGTCTTGGGAAATAATTGCCAAAAAAGAACAAATCCACAGCTTGTTAGGGTGAACAATCCATTGCTATGACGAGTATTCGACTACTACCTCGACCTTTATCGGTGTCGACTAAGGCTATTATGCGCACAGGCGGAAGGAGACACCAAACGCTTTGGTGAGACCCCGTCGGATCCCTTAGAGGGAGTCGTCCGACTTATCTAATAATGCCCGTTCCTTTCACTCCTCTTGACGAAGCCGTCTCACTCAGAAGCCAGACCTCCAAGGCGCCGCAACTCCTATCCAAATTTGCCACCACCAGCCGAACGTACCGCTGGATCTCAGAACTAGCCTGCCTATATACTAACCAGCAGCAAGCAGCTCCACGTTTACGTCTACCCATTGCAATTAAGGCCAAGCATGAAAGGCAACCAGACACGGAAGGACTGAGGTGCTAATTTGGTATGGCTAAACATCGACAAACTGAACAACAGAACAACTGTAAGTATATCGGCTCGCTTTCTCCTTTTTGAAGAGCCAACGATTATCCGAGCAGATAGGTCAAAGGACGACTAATGGAGAGGTTATCCATAGGGTAAATTGCTAAAATGGAACAATGGGATGAAGGAATAGTGCACACAATAGCGTGATTTTTTTTTAAGGGATTTGTACAGACAGAATATAGGATGCTTGCAGCCCATAGAATCGATGGGGGCGACGCCACGGAGAATGTTGCCACCCTTTTGTCAATGACTCCGTGAGTGTACATCATTGTAGCGGTAAATCCATGTGGCCTGTTTTTGTACAATTATCAACACAAGTCAACACACTATTAGGTCAAGTGTACACCACACAAACTATCGCGCACTTCTCGAAGGATGACCATTGAACACAGCATTGAAGGCACGCGCGTGAGGGACCACTTATAAAAGGAGAGAAAATATATTTAAATAGTCGACGAGATAGCGCACACGTGAGGTGTACAAGCGGAACTGCTTGCAGCATATTAGACACATCCTAAGCCCAACAAGGATTGCACGCTGCCAGCATATATCCATCCACCACCATCATCATCATCGTTGGCGTCATCCTTTGAGTCAGCTATTGCATTGACTAGTAGATTAGCTGGCCAGCTATATCGCGCACCGTTCCAGTCGGCTCCGTTCCCTCTGCGGCTGTATAGAATCTCCTTAGCTAATGCGCTGCATGTACGTGTTGGTAGCTAGTTGGTTATCCTCATCCATAGGTGCTGGTGGTAACGAATTGAACGACCGCAGCGCTGACTGCGGCGTTGGCTGCGGTGTAATGCTGTGAAGGCGACGAACGCAACCGTAGTGGCGATGGCAATGGGGGTGATGAATCCGAGGACGGTGGCCTTAGTGGTAGCCGTAGAGATGGCGCGGAATCCTGACGGGTGTAGATATGGCCTCGTATTAAACCACGGGGCAGTGGCTTCCCATAACTGCCCTCTGTGGAGGCAACGGACGGAAGAGGTGGAGGGGTTATTCGGGGCGGATGCAAGTCGTGAGGATTTCATTTCTCTGTTTGCTATTGACGGTGTTCGTTCGGAGCAGACATCGATCACCGCCGCCATCGCGTTCACTGCTTACAACGGAAATGGGCTGACTGAGGATCGTAGATTGGAAGGCGAGCTTGGATAACTTACCTGATGTTTATTCCGCGGACGAGGTGGCCACGGAACGAAGGGTACCATGAGTCTCCGATGGGGGTTGTCGACTCACGGCTCACTCTGAGAGGCGCGGGCCCGCGCGCCCGGTCGACACGCGGCTCGCTCGGAGCCGTCCCGTTTTCCGCAAGTTGCTCAAACGGAGTTAGTTAGTAGGCAGCGCTAGGCGGCGGGGAGGCCGCGCGCGCCCTGCGGGGCACAGGCTCAGTGCAGCAGCGGCAGTAATTGTAGTATTGGTAGTAATAGTCACAGACGGACGAGGTTGTGACGGGCACGACGACGGGGCCTGCCCCATCGCGAGAGGCCGCCCTGCGGCGCAGTCCATTGCACTACACGCCACTCTGGTTTGCAGTCGTGTGTTAGTTCCTCGCGTGAAAAACAACCAATAGGTCCACAGCATCCACGGGCTCCACTCGCGAGGAGCGTCGGGCAAGCACTCGGCTAGCTCACATTAGCCATCGCAGTCGTTTGGACTGTTCTGTTCACAGATCACTCACTCACTGTGCACTGGTCCAGGCCTTGTCAGGCTCGCGTTGGGGCCCCATCGTCGGGCTGCTCCCGTTCGAACGCCACTGCTCCTCTGCGCCTCTGCCTCTGCTCCTGCTGCTGCAACACAGCAAACGAACGAACGAACGAACGGAGGACGGAACGGACGCGGCGGAGCCATGACCAGCAGCGGCAGCAGCACCAGAGCGAGGAGCGGGTCTCTCCAGGCGGCCGCCGCGCTCTCTCCTTTCCTTCTACTCACTACCACCACCGCCTACTACTGCTGCTGTCTGCTCTCCTACAGCCTGTGCTGTGTGACTGTCTAGAAACATGTGTGTGTGTGTGTGTGTCTGTGTGCAAGTGCGTATGTGCTGGCGTCAGTGGCGTGTATACTGTTAACCAGGAAACACCGAGCAGCACTTCCAGCAGGGCCCTCCTTGGCGCCTGCGACTGCACACCGCTGTTCTCATGAAGCTGTCATGGCCTGCTGTTACTTGCACACCAGGGTCTGTATACACCGAGCTGTGTGCTATGCTATGCTACGCTACGCTACGATGTACATGCGTACGTTCATGCGGGTCTGTATGCATGTGTGTATGTGTGTGTTCGTATGTGTGTGTGTGTGTGTGTGTGTGTGTATATCTATGTGTGTACGTGGGCATGTGTGTGTATCTTCATCACTCCCTGTCGTGAGTGAGTACCATCATTGAATGCTTGGCTCCCGAAATGTGCGTTCCCGCGTCTTCCTGTCCGTGTATCATATGTGTGTCTGCATGGTTGTAAGTGCGTGTGCGTTCAGAGTGTATATATGCGTCTACTGCCTCGGCAGCTAGGGTCCCTATGGACCCTGCCCTTCGACGCTCTGAAGGCACCGGAGCCGCGCTCTGTTTTCGTATGCTCTCTTCTTGCCCCTGATCTCTCCGCTGTACCCTCCCGCTCATCCGAATAACAAGGCTAGCTACTACAGACCTCCACCAGCTGGAGCATCCACCGCGGAGCCACTTCCGCATCCTGTCTCTTCCAATATGGCGGCTGGCCATCTGAAGGGTTCAGTGCGCCCCAAGAGTGCGAGGAGCCTCACCTCGTGTCGCCCTCAGCCTCCTCTCAATCCGCTACACCGCGATCAATCCTCTTCGGTAGTAGATTCTGCCCTCTCCTTTTGTCCAGGAACTGAACTCTGTTAACGTTTGCTGTCTAGCACATCTTGCCCTCAGCATGGCCCTCAGATGACCTCGCGGCGCGCATGCTCCTTAAATTCTTAGCGGCTTACTGCTTAGCCCCTATTACCCTCACCCATGTGTCCCTCTCCAATTTTAAGGCTGGGAGTTCCCAGCCGTGCTCCGTCTTTAAGAGTGGCTGGTGGGTTGCTCCCTCTTCGAATCCGGAGGCCTTCATTTACCGTTTTCATCTGCCGTGTCATCTCAACATCTCGTTCAACAACGCCGCCTGCCGCCTCTCTTACAAACGAATGTTCTTGGTTAGCGTCCTTAGCTTGCGTTGGACCGCCGAACGAAATATAGTCTGGGGGCATACTCAAGCTGACTAAGAGAAACAGAAGCATATCCTACGCATGCTTTCCGCACGCCTTCGATGCTCGTAGTCGAAGTCGCCTCTTGCGCCTTCACCCCTCAAGATGTCAAGACTCGATGATGGATCTGATTTCCGGCGCGCGCAATTTGAACGTAGAAACAATTCAATAAATTCCTATCGGGAGTCATAGATATGTGCATTAGTTAGTAGATCCACCTCCAAATTAGAATTATAAATCAATGAGTATAACAGAAAATGAAGTGATCCGCAACGAGGAAATAGTCAATGTTTTAGACAGAGCTCCGATCTGCTCATAATTCCGCTCAGTGTATGTGTATATATGTCAAGTAAAACTAAGAAATGAAATTTTTTTTTCATGCCCCTATTGTTGATAACGAGTCGCTTTTGAAGTAAATTTTGATGACATTATAGGCATGACGAATCACTTGGACAAAACATTCTTGTTAACATGTGGAATAGTCTCGGATAATCACGAGTCACAGTATATTATGACTCATTATTTACACAAGAATCATGTATAGTCACGATAGCTACTCAGGTGTAGTTAACTCGTCTTCGAAGAAGCGATGTCCACAATATTGCTGCAGGTCTTCGGTTCTCAGCTAGAATGCAATATGTCAGGCATCTAAAATCCAGCTTCGCTATTCGCAGTAAAACTTTATGTAGACGATCCATAATCTTGGGCTTGATTTGGCCGCAAACTATATTTATAAAGCATGGTCTTCTGTAATTATAGTCAAAGCCTTTTCTGGCAAGAAAATTATTTTCTCTATAGCTCTGTTAAATGACTGACCTATATAACATTTTCACGGTTTTCACGGCATAGTTGTATCTAAGTAGTATTTTGCAGATATGGCATTTAGACCACATAATCGAAGAGCTTTTGACGAGCATACAGGTATACTTATTTCTTATCCGTGACATCGGTTGTTTTCAATGACAGCGTTAAGCAAATTTCGGCCTGTGTAGCCTCACCCGCTTCTATATATACGTATGCTTTATATAGTGATTGCCGAAATTGATTGGGAGTACTAAATTATATATAGCGATAGTTGGTTTATGATGTACCCGATAAGTTGGAGAGTCCCTTCTATCGTCTGATTACTGAAAAACTGGATTCTGTCTCATATGATCTTATTGGAGAAGTTTGCTTTGAAGCTTAATGTAAAAGGAATGAATGTCTCAGCGTCCATAGGTCTGTACGTTTTTATTGCTGAACTTTTTGACTGCATTTATGTGACATGTACTGGCCATTATGCTTCATAATTTAATTTTTGACATAATTTAACCCTTGCTTTTTGTCAGATATAACACGAAATTGCAAAGTTCGTTACCTGCTAAATATACATACCTATATATTAATATATATAGGCATATATATTTATTTATATATTGTGTACACCAAGCCAGCGATCTGCCTGTTCACTCTATGGCCAATAATAGAAATGTAGGTACCCCAGGTATACCCCAGAATCTAATAGTAATGATTTTTATACACTTTTAAACACTACAAGCAAGTTAAACAGCTTAAATCTACTTAGACTGGTGAGCTAATATTAGTAATCATATCCTATACCGTCAAAATAAGTGTCTGATTGTTCTAACTGGTCGGCTGGTACCTAAAGCAAGTTCCTTTATTCGCACAGGTTGTCATTGGTGGAACACAGCTTAAAACAGCAACCCCTGATCTCTTTCAATCAGAGGCTTGGTCGTCCAAGTTACCTTGTCCGCTAATGACTCGCCGGCATGACCAGCAGAATTTTTACATGCTTCTTATAAATAAGGGCTAATATGTGCATTAAGTATATAATAGAAAGGCAGGTGGAAATTAAATTAAAAAAAGTAGGGTACTGCTCGTCCATTTCTTTGTTCTTCTTCTGTTACAACGATGTTCTCAAGATTGAACTGTCCCAGTCCAGTATTCCCTATTCGTGAACCTTTTCTGTCTTCTTCATTCCCATGTCCCATAGCGATAATGAGGTCGGCCAAATGTACATCTAAAAATTGTACCCCATACAATGAAATGAATTAAAACACTCTCGACATTAGGTATTGAAGTATTTTGTACTATGTATTTCAGGCTTAATAGGGCGTATTGAGAATTATTTAGATTTTGCGTTGAAATGAAATTAAGAATCTACGATACCTTTAAATTTATTTTATAATAGTTTTTTTCTGATAAATATGAGCGAACATTTTACGTACATAATATATAAATAAAGGTAGGTAATAATTAAGCGTATTCGACAATAAACGAATAAAAAAAGCTATCTGAGAAAGCATTGAAGTTTAATACACGGATGTTTCATTCTTGGAGAATCTGTTTGAGAGATTACACAGTCGGCGTCAGAAGATAGTTCTACGAGTGTTTGCTTCACAACAGCACTCGTAGCGTCATTACTTCAAATAAAGCTAAGGAAACACCTCCATTTTTGAAAATGACTTGTTAACTACGATCTATATATATATATATGAATTGTGATGATCAGCTATAGTTGGGTAATTAAATTATATTAGTTGAATCCCAGGTTAATACCTGAAAGCTGCGTTTTCCTCATTCAATGTGCTTGCCCTGCTGCTCCGCCTGTTCAAAATAGGTTCATTTACAATGTGATCTAGGTTCGAACACGGGCATAGACAGATTATGTTGGAACCCTAACGTTCGCCTGATGGAACGTCTAACGGCGATACGGGACGCACAACTCGGAACTTTAAGGTATGACGCTTCATACAATCTTCTGTACGAATCTCATAGCACAAGTATGAACGTGTACGGTTCTCCTCATCACCGTCGCAACCGTGTTTCGGACATAAGAGATTATCTAAATCTTATTGTGCGGGTCGTTTCGTCGAACATCTTTATACCTCTTAGGCTGTTGATGGTTCCATCGAGAGAATGAATGTCTAAAGCAACACGGCACTAGGGAATTGCTTTCTTTCGCCGGTGTAGGACCTCAACATTTCAGCACGGTAATCGATTAAGCCAAATGTACAATTGGGCCATCGCTCTAAATATCGTATTGTTTCTTGGGTCGCTTACCTAAAACGGACCTTAACCTACTGCTCTTGAAGAAGAAGGTCTAACAACGTGGATAGTGAGCCAAGTGAAATTTACGCTATTCTTTCTTTAAACACTGGCCAGAGAAGAATGTAAGTAGACCTTTATCATAGCGCTACTTGCCTGCGAAACACAACAAATATACCACCACTGTTGATGCCGTCGTCGTCATAGCTTTAGCTCTACTACGAACGGCTGTTTGGAAAGAAACCATTGCCGAATGGGCTAAAAATGCATCCCTATGTCTATGTATGCCCTAATCAATGAACTAGGTGAGTGGGCGAGGATCGTGCCAGCTCTCCAAGGAGTATATCAAAGTGCATATATGTTGTCCACGGTCTGATGTAATAATTTCTGATAACAATATAATTGTTTACACAAAGACCAAAGCATTTAATGTAGGTTTTTTACGATAAAATAATTCCAAATGATGTAAAACCTAATTTTAGTGCATCACTAGTAGTATTTTATTTAAATTTTTCCACATAAAAAATGAAGAAAAAAAATTATTTCTCAGAGCGTAAATTTTTTCCAGAGGAACACT